TTCATTTCAGGTATGGGAATAATAAAATAAACAAATGCATGCATTGAAATAAAGATATCAGAAATGAAAAATTTATGGGATAAGCTTCTAATTTGAATGTATCAAACAATGTAAATTATTATGAAATAATACAATATATATTATTGTAGTCCCTGAAATGGAGAGACAAAAGAAAATCTCATTCCTGAGAATTTTCCAAAATTGAATTGTCACCAAACCATAGGCTCTGACAAACTGCAATGAAGATAAATTAACAACAGCAACAACAAAACACCAAGGCCTATAACAAACATTAAAACACTCATGTAGTATAATGAAACTGGCTTTCTTTGGTTATTATACAGGGACTTCAAAACATTTGTGAAAAATGTATTGGAAAGTAAGTTTATTTTGGGGACTGGCCCTGTGGCACAGCTGCTTTGCCACTGCCTGTGATGCCAGCATTCTTGTAAGTACCAGTCCCAGTGCTGGCTGTTCCAATTCTGATACAGCTCTCTGAAAATGTGCCTGGAAAAGCAGTAGAAGGTGACCCAAGTGTTTGGCCCTGTACCACTCACCAGGGAGACCTGGATGGGGTTCCTGGTCCTGGCTTCTGCCTGGCCCTGCCCTGACCATTGTTGCCATTTGAAGAGTGAGTCAGCAGATCAAAGATCTCTCTATCACTCTGTGTAACTCTGCTTTAGATAAATAAATCCTTTCTTTAAAGATAATTTTATTTGATGCAACATTTCTTTGAAATCCATGCAATTATTTTTATAAAATGCATTGTCCTTTATTTTTCTGAATACCCTTAGTATTTTACTGTTTTGAAAAGTTTACTGTTGACCTTACAATACACTTTAGTTTTCATTCTGTATCTTCCAAACATCAAATACATGAATTTTGTTTACTAAATCAGAAATAAAATGTTGGCGAACTACAGCCTGTGACCTAAACCTGGTTCCAACCTGTTTGTTACAACTTGTGAGCTTCAAATGGCTTTGCATTATTAAAGTTGGAGAAATAAAAAAAACCTATTTTATGCCTCATGACAATTATATGAAATAGGAATTTTTGTGGCTTATGTAGTTTTTTGGGGGGCAGCCATGCTTATTCTTCCATGATTGTCTTTGGCTGCTTTGCATCGTGACAGCAGAGAAGCTAAATAATGATGAACGAGAATTTGTGCATATCACACTCTGATTGCTTCATACCACTGCTGGAAACTCTACAGACCATGGAACACAGCTGTATGTTGGCAGCAATCCTAGCCCTACATATTGCATTTCTTTTTCATTACTAATGCATATCCATACATTTAAAAAATAAGAAAATAAGAGTGGACTTCTAATGTTGCTTTTTTAAGGCATAATTGAAGATGGGTTATTTTGTATTGAGTTTTAAAATATTTAAATATTTAAAAATATTTAATGTATGTAAATTGTAGAGACAGGGATCTTCCCTCTGCTGGTTCACTCTCCGAATGCCTGCCATAGATGTGGGACCCAGCTACTTGAACCATCATCTACTGCCTCCCCTCGTGTGATTGAGCAAGAAACTGGTGTTGGGAACCTGGATACTCAAATGTAGGATGCAGGCATTTCAAAAACTGTCTTAGTCATTAGACCAGATGCTTGCTCCTTTTATTGAATTTGATAACACGTGAGTATGTTTCTTATGCAATGACGCTATACCTGTGCTTCAAAGCACAGAGCAGCATCAATAGACGTAATTTGAATATGATTTGGCTCCCATAGTTGTGCAGATGTTTAAACTCCAAGTCACAAGTGAATGGTACTAAATGAGTAGAAACTTACAGGCCTAGTGGAAAGACCTTAGGTCACTGTGGACATGCCTGTGGAAGGTGGTTCTTGTGAGAGGGCTGGTTACAAAAGCAGCAGTGGGCCCAGGCTTGCAACATAATCCTCCTAACACACGAGCTTCACCACTGCCATCCACCATCCTCACTAGGGGCCAGACACATGGGCGGGCTTGCTTGATCATGGGCCCAAATCTCCAAATCTGTGAGCTAAATAAAACCTTGCCTCAGACATTTCACCTTGAAATGAAAAGCTGACTACCACAAAGACAAGCCCAGGTCATTGTGTTCTCCACTCGCAGACAGGCTATGTTTAAAAAAATTAGAAAATTTCAAACAGCATATCTCATCACTGCAGCACTTCTTCACAAGAGTATATTATTAGGATGAGATTACAACCATAATAAGTTTCCAATTGCCTCATGTATTAGCCAAGCAAGAAAAGCCATTTACCAACGGTAAATTATTTAAATCATGTTAGATTGCAGCAGCTAAAGAAATGTGTTTAGAGAAAGCAAACTTGTTTAATACAATTAATCTTTCAGCCAGAACAGTTACATGAGGAGTTGAGGACATTGGAAGCAGCATCAATAATCAATTTGCCTTATTGCTTACAAGCAAATGAGTTCAAGTGATTTCTCTCTGCTCCTGATGAGTTCATAGAGGTTGCTAACACTCATCAGCTGCTGTTTATTTGATGAGTCAATGCTAAGTTTTAAATGACTTAAAAATTAAGTTAGCTCCTAAGAATATGGAACTGATAGAGGTGTGGCTATTTTCTTGAAAAGCTGAGAAAGCAGTAAACTAGTACAACCTGAAATGCAAGTTCCTTGTACAACTGATATAAATTTATATATATATGTATATAATTTTTTAAAGATTTGTTTTATTTATTTGGAACACAGAGTTACAGAGAGAGAGAGAGGTCTTCCATTCGCTGGCAATGGCCGGAGCTGAGCTGATCAGAAGCCAGTAGCCAGGAGCCTCTTCCAGGTCTTCCATGCAGGTGCAGAGGCCCAAGGGGCTGGGCCATCTTCTACTGCTTTCCCAGGCAATAGCAGAGAGCTGAGTTGGAAGAGGAGCAGCCAGGACTCCAACCAGTGCCCACGTGGGATGCCAGCACTGCAGGCTGGGCCTTTAACTGCTGTACCACAGCACCAGCCCCTGGGCATGTCATTTCAAATGAACTTTTACCATCTATTTTTCTTCTAAATACAAACTCAAAACAATACTCATTCAAATGTAATGCCTGCTGCACCTTAATGATTTACAGGTTTTGTTTAATGTAACCTGTGTTTGACATTCTCCTATCTCCTTTTACATATGCAAATTTTCTTTCTTGATGTGGTAAACAGTTTTATAGCAAAACAGATTTAATGTATAAATCAGGATATGCATAAAAACTGGAGCATGAAAACTGGTGTCTTCTGTAGTCAGAATCTACAGTCAAAGGGATTTTACCATTAGAGTAAATAAATCTTCTTTCCCTATGGGTCCACAGTAAGGAAACTTTCTTTTAAACATTCTTATAGTTAATGGTTAAGATAATATGGTTCTTAATTATTTATGTCTTTCTGTGCATATGTTTAAATATGTCTCCATGACGTACTTAGGCACAGAGAGAATGATGGACAATAATCGGCATCCTTTAATTTATATTGCTTGACAAAGATCCATATGCCTCTTATTAGTATTTTTATTATGGATAACGAGGAGGGAAGTTTGTGTCTCAGACTTTCTTCTTCAGTATTTTCTTGAAGCAAAGTAAAACTGTATTTGTACATTTGTTTTCCTCACACTTAGAGTCCTATTTGGGGGAATCATAGAGAATCCTGTTTATTTGGGGAATCAAGTTGCTGCTTCGCTGGACTTGGTAGTCCTCAAAGTGAACAGATGCTCACACTGCCAAATGTCTCTAAGTGCATTTATGTCTGTCCCATATATAGAAATCCTCTTCTTAATATGAGCCAGACTGGGCTGAAGGCTTATATATAACTGATTAATTTTTTTTGCATTCCTGTCTTCTCCAACGTGACTTCCCAATCTCACCTTTCTGTTTTGATACTAGCTCTCTCTTACCTGCAGCAGGACTGAAACCCATTTTCTCTCTGCTCCAACAACAGAATTTCTTCAAGTATATTTCTTCTAACTCTTAGGTTCGTTTAAAAAAACCCTTTTATAGGTAATACGTGATCCAGTGTTCAAACTTCTGACATTAACAATCATTCACAGCATGGTAGAGGAATTTACTGTCAAATGTTAAGGTACCTCCAGCAAACACTCAGCTTTATATAGAAATAAAGAGCACTGTTCTTGGGCTCTAGACCAGAAACTAATGGCTGACTTCAAAGTGCTCCCACGTTTTGTGTATATGAGACACACGTGGTGTGTCTATTTAACTGTAAATACCCTTAAATTGTATGCAGCAGGCATCACAAGACTTTTCTGTAAAAACTACCTGGTAGAGGCCAGCGCTGTGGTGTTGCGAGTAAAGCCACCACCTGCAGTGCCGGAATCTGCGCGAGTACAAGTCCCGGCTGCTCCACTTCCGATCCAGCTCTCTGCTATGGCCTGGGAAAGCAGTGGAGGATGGCCCGAATCTTTGGGCTCCTGCACCAACGTGGGAGACCTGAAAGAAGCTCCTGGCTCCTGGCTTTGGATCGGCACAGCTCCAGCTGTTGTGGCCATCTGGGGAGTGAACCAGCAAATGGAAGACCTCTCTCTCTGCCTCTCCTCTCTCTGTGTAAATCTGACTTTCAAATAAATAAATAAATCTTTAAAAAACCAACTGATGGATATTCCAGCTTTGTGAGCCATATAACCTCTGTTATAACTATTCAACTATGCCATGATAGGAAGAAATCAATCATAGATAATGCTGTCTTGAAAAAGCTTTATTGGCCGGCGCCATGGCTCACTAATCTAATCCTCCGCCTTACAGCACCGGCACACTGGGTTCTAGTCCTGGTCGGGGCACCAGATTCTGTCCCAGTTGCCCCTCTTCCAGGCCAGCTCTCTGCTGTGGCCAGGGAGTGCAGTGGAGGATGGCCCAAGTACTTGGGCCCTGCATCCCATGGGAGACCAGGATAAGTACCTGGCTCCTGCCATCAGATCAGCGCGGTGAGCTGGCCGTGGCGGCCATTGGAGGGTGAACCAACGGCAAAAGGAAGACCTTTCTCTCTGTCTCTCTCTCACTGTCCACTCTGCCTGTCAAAAAAAAAAAAAAAAAAAGCTTTATTTACAAGAGCACATGACATATAAGACTCGTCCCTCTGCCAGTAGCTGGCCAACCCTAGGATGGAGTTTTTATTGAGAAATGATTATCCAGACATGAAATAGGAGAATTTTTCATCTAGCTAACTCTCATGGCCTGTTTTAAGATCAAGGCCCGTGTGTATGTATGTGTAGATAAAATTAATAGCACTGATTAAAGCTGTTCTCTCTTTTTGTCACTCTTCTTATCTTCCTGGGCAGTGTGATGGTTGGTTTTAGCTGTCAACTTGACTGGATTAGGAACCCCTAGTGAGCTTTCAGAGCATCTTTTCTGGGTGTATCTGTTTCCAAAACCTGAAGCACGTGGTGTTCTTGTTGCAAGGGAAATGGTCCCAGCATGCAAGAAAGATAAGCTTTAAAACAACAACTACAAAACCCCCAGACTCACAGCCACTGAAATCAGGAAGTAACCCCCTCTTCTGCATGTATGAACTTTGTTTCCACATCCTTTTTTTGTACTTTTATACCACTCTGCAGTTTTACTCATATGTATGAAATGGATTTAATCAATTAAATAATCATGTCGTAAACTTTGTGAAGGTGGATTGCATTCCCTTGTCATTTCCTATTTTCCCCAGCACTTTTTTAGAGCCGAATAGTCATAAATGCTTGCTAATTAATGGCTGAGTACAAACCATCACATCCCTGTCTTTAGTAGTGGAGTAAATACACAATTCTGTTTCTGGTCTTTCTGTTCACCAGAACAAAGATATGTGATCAGACACCCCTGGAGACACTATTCAATTTAAACTGAGACCACTACTTTCTTTTATGATTCGGAGTGGGGTGAAACAGATCAGAATATTAATGTTGTTTTTATACTTACTCCATTGTTCTCACAGCTCCTCTTTAGAACTTTACTGTCATGAATTAGTCTCTCCTTTCTGTTTTTTATAATTTGAAAGAATAAGCTGAGAGAAAACACATGCCAGACTCAGAAGCTTATTGATTATGTGTATTTGAAATGTCCTTAAAACATGGAGCTTGGACTTGGCACTTATTCCATGAACAGAACTGCACAGTTTGCATTTTGATCTGGTTGTTATTGCACCTTCAGTTAGGGAATTACAGTCTTGAGATTGGTATCTGAAGGAATCTTTCAAAAGACCTTAATAATTGGCTGTCTTCCCTCCCTCCAACCTGTGCAACGTTCCTTTATTCATAGAGTTTTCAAAAAATTATTTATTTGAGATAAGTGGATGGAGGGAGGGAGAGATAGAGAGTGAGAGAGTGAGAGAGCGAGAACATGAACACTCCCATCAGCAGGTTCACTTCCCAAATGCCCACAACAGTCTCCTACCCAGGATACAAGCTGGGATCCTGGAACTCAATACAGATCTCCCATGCAGGTGGTAGGAACGCAACTGCTTACATCATAGCCCGCTTCTTCCCAGGGTCTGCATTAGCAGGAAGGCAGAGCTAGGAGCTAATGCCACAACTCAAATCCATGCTCTGATCTAAGACATGAGAATCTCACATACCATCTTAATTTCCCACAAATTCCCACTTATGTAATATTTCTATACTGGAATAATTTCAGACTAACTCATTTCCAGGGTTGGGAAATACAAATATTCATATGCCTAGAAAAATGTCCTTATAAACATGCCAATGCAAATTTTTCAACAATGTCTCCAAAGTACTTCACAAAGCCTGCTTCAGAGTCTATCCAGATTCAAGGTGTTTTCATAAAGTTCTTGGAGAATATGGACAATACATGGACTTCAAAAATGTTTGCACCAAAATAAATTATATTTTCCTCTGTTTTCCACAAAATTTTTGAAGTACTCTTGAAGCCAATTTGGAGAGATTGCTTAATCTGCTCTTAATATGAACTTCTCTCATGTTTTAATGAAATATTCAAATTCTCTCTCAGTATATTTTTTGGGCTTAAATGACACAAATCAAGCACCTGAAAAAGAATAGCTTAGTTCCACTGGCATTCGTGGGTGGTGATTACTTTGAGTGATTTTTATGTGCCAAACACCAGGCAGAACATAAAGCAGAACAAGGTCACCTAGGACCATCGCCTTGGAAAGGCCATCAGGCACGGGGGAGCTGGAAGGACTGAGAGCCGCCATTTTCAGCAGGCCCACTTTGATGCTTCAGTGCTCTGGAATTTAATTTTTGAATAATTCAGTGGTACTTTCCTACTTCTTGTATTAAATCACTTAGTGCCTGAAATTTAAGTAGTTCAATGGCCTAAAGGAAAACTAAAACTTGCCTACAGAGTTACTTTTGTTTAAGATCATGAAAGGATCATGACACTGATGAAAAGAACAACAGTGGCCCACCAGCAAGCATTGCTGACACTGTCTGGCACTGTTCTAATTGCTAAAGCATTTAATTAACTCTACATTTTCTATGAATATGAGAGGAGGGAATTCATCTAGAAATAAGTCTATAATTTGCTCAGTTCCCATTATATCCCAAATATAATATTGCAGTATTTGGCATTGAGGCTTAAATAAATAAATAAAAAGACCAGAGGTACTCACTTATTAAAAATTTATGGCCTGATTATAAGACCTGCTTTTTACATGTTTGAATAAAAGAGAGACAATGGAGAGTACTAGAGCCTACATAAAGCCTTTGGCATCTACATGAATGAGCTAATGGGCTCTTTCAGGATTGTTTGAGATTCCTCTTTGCTTGTGGAGTGTAAACAAAATAAAGCTAAAAGATAAACTTAAATCTGATTGTTCCAGGACTGCCTTTTATTTTAATTCTAAATAGAAAAAAGCCATTTAATCAACAATAAGTATTTTCAGCTTGGATTCTATTTCAATATTGATACTACTTAGCTTTCTCCCTCCTTCCATTCTAGCAGTCAGAACTGTGACCAGCCCAGGTTTTTCGCTGGAGAAGTCATCCTAGGAGTGGTGCTGGTGTGGGGAGGCCACGTAGGGGAGGCCACATGGAGGAGACATGGCCACTTAGGGGAGGCCACGTGAGGGAGATGCAGCCACCTAGGGGAGACCATGTCAGGAAGACGCAGCCAGGTAGGGGGGACCACGTGGGGGAGACACGGCCACTTAGGGGAGGCCACATGGGGGAGATGCAGCCACAAAGGGGAGACCACATGGGGGAGATGCAGCCACGTAGGGGAGACCATGTCAGGAAGACGCAGCCATGTAGGGGAGGCCACGTGGGGGAGACACGGCCATGTAGGGGAGGCCACGTGGGGGAGACACGGCCATGTAGGGGAGACCACGTGGGGGAGATGCAGCCTCTCCAGAGGCAGGCCAAGTGCAACGCACTGCGGGTTAGTTCTACACACCCTCGGCTCGGGAAGCAGGCCACCTGCCTCCACTGCTGGCTGATCCCAGCATCTGGCTCCGCCGGCCTCAGCCTTCCGTCTGCAGTTATTTATAAACAGGAAAGGAACGGCCTTCCAGATAGGGACCTTCAGCCACCGTGGCACCTTCCAGAGCTCGACAAGCTGATCACTCAAAATGCGCCCTCAGACTTTCCTCCTCTCCTGGGGTCCCGGGGGGCTCCCGTCCTTTTGCCGAGCGCGGGTCCGCCATGCAGTTCTGACTCCCCTCTCTCATCCTCACTTCTGGAGCCCACCGGGACCCAGCAGTGCCTCTCCGCCCTCCCATCAGTTCTCCGTCCCTGCTGCAGTGGCCTGGCTGGGATGATGGACAAGCACCGGGGGAGTAGAAAACGGGCATGGCAATCTCCTGGCCGCACGGAGCCCCGGGCTGCCATCTCAGATCCAGTCCACCGACACGCTCATCCACTTTAACCACGGCGCACTGACACGCCCTGCTCAGACTGTAGCGCCCCCTGGAGGCTACGGCTCCAGCCACCCTCTGCAATTCTCTCTTCCCTTCTCTTTACCTATCAGCATCCTGCTGACCCTCGGGGATGATCTCATCCGTTCATTCACAAATACTGTTGAGTGTCATCCGTCCCAGGCATTGTGTGGGACCTGAGACGGACAGGGCAAGCAGATGGACAGGTCCCTTGTCGCCACAGCCTCCTGGCTCAGAGAGGAAGAGACAGCACTACCTTCTCCCCAAAGCCCTCTCCCGGCCCCCACATTCCCCACCCACTTAGATCTGATTTCCTATTTTTTTTTCATTGTTTCCCTCCAGCATCTGCTGCCCGAGTTTCTCAGTTAGTCCTTGGCTGACGCTGACTATTTTGTCTAATATTTCTCTTCCCAGTATGGTCTGTGAGCTCCCCTTCGAGGGAAGAACTGTGCCTCCTGCATCAGTGCATTGCCCACAGCTTCTCGTGCCAGACACACAGTAGGTCCTCAAACACTCCTGGGACGAGCTTTCTTCCACCCAGTGATAGGCTGGCTTAGTTAGAGATGCTGGGCTCTCTGGCCCCAGATTTTGCACAAAGGCACTACTTGGGCAACTGTGTCCAGGCGTTCTCTTGTCCTCTGAGCTATTTAACACCCCCCTCTCGGTCCCTTGAGATCTGATACCAATAGTTCCTGAGCCGCATTTGTTCAGAAGGCTTAGTGAGCTGGCTACTGTCTGGACAGCATGAGGCATGATGCAGAAGAAGCGATTACACTGCAATTACCCCCTTTTGATGATCAAATCAGGAATTCAGAGTTTAACATGGTCTAGGCATGCAGCTGGACCAGACGGCATTTAGACGGTTTCTGTTCCCCCACCATCCGTGCTGGGAACTGGCAGGGGCGGAGGGGCTGAGACTGAGGATGGCGTGGAGGGGAGGTGCGTGGAGAGCTGAGGTCACACAGACACCACCCGGGGAAAAAACCGGCAGCCTGTCTGCGCCCTCCTGTTTAAATCAAGAGCTCCGCAGCGCGGCTGGAAAACTGCACGCTCTCTGCTTCATTTTCCGACCTAGAAGCCCCGGGGGAGGCGACAGAGGCTGCTTCTATGGAGCAGGGGTGAGCCCTGCCCCTGGCTGGAGGCCTGGGGGATGGGGGGACACTGGCTCCTGCAGCCGGTCCCTCTGACCCCGAAGCTCCCCCAGTCCTGGCGGGGACGTGGAGACCACACGCCAGGCAAACCCTGGGCCCGACCAGACCAACCGCCAGACAGCCTGCTGGTGGATCTGGTGGTTCTCTTCATAGCAACATCACCATGGTAACGGGATGATGACTCATGACATTTCTCTACTGCAGGGTGGCAAGCTCCAGCTGGCCAAGGCTGACCATTGCATCACCTCCTTCCTCTGCTGGCCTGGGGGAGGGCTCAGTGCAATTAAATGCATCCAATGAATGAATGAATGACCAGGGCCTGAAATGTATCCAGGGAATGAATGAATGACCAGGGCCTGAGCAGTGGCCTCAGGGGGATGAAGCAGGGAGATTCCTGGCACTGACCACCCAGCATGGCAGAGGACGCAAAGGAACCACTCGGGGCCATGGCAGAGTCAGGCTGGACACTGCCAGCCCCGCCCCATGGTGTCACCAGGCTGCCCTACAGATCGGACCCGCCCAATCAGGGTAGGGCTTTTGCTGGCCCAACTCCAGCCCCTACTTCCTCTGCATGGCGGTTTCTCCCTGGCCTCTCCTGAACTGTCCCTTCTCTTCTCCAAACTGCCACCCAATGGACCGACCGATGCACACTCTTCCGAGCTAAGTACACACCATTCATTGATCGATTTCCTCCAAAGCCAATCAGAATGCTGCTGACTCCTCCATGTGATCATCTCATCTCATCTCAAAAGCAACCAGCGAGCTCTGCTCAGACGGCTGCGTGTGCAGCACCCAGGCCAGGAACCAGGCTCCCAGGCTGGCCCGGAGGAGCATAACTTCAAATAATCTTGTTCTGTCCTCTGCACAGACACCCCTTTGCTCTCCAGACGCTGCGACCTACTTTCATTTGGGAAAATAGGTCACCTCAGTGCCTCTTCTCTGGTGGGCTGGCCGGCCGGTGAGCCCTGGCCACAGGTAGAGGGCTCCCGGGGAATGGAAGCATGCAGGGCATGGCCCGAACTGCCCACTGCTGTCCAGCTCTCCCGCAATCACCTGGGGAAAGGGGTCCATATTTGGGCACGGAGCAACCACCACCTCCTTAGTATACAGAGAGGAACACGGAGCTCTTTTCTCTGCCAAGCCACCGCTGAGGGCAACCTGCGCATCTACCCTCCGGTGGGGCAGCAGGTGGGGATGAGGGATCCAGCTCCCGCGCTGAGAAGTGCTCAGAGTTCCTGGAAGTCTCTCTCGAGACCCTTCCCTTTCCAGCTCCACCTCCTGGAGCCCCCAGAGAGGTGGACAGATAGGGCTGCCGCTGGCAGGGCAATGTTGAAAAACACTTGGCAGTGACTGCGACCAATAAAAGTCTGGCGTCGTGGAATTTTAAACATTTGCAACAGACTCAGTGCCTGTGGTTAAGGGGAGAAGAAAGGGCTTGTTCAGGTCTCAGCATCCGGCCAGGGAACAGGGAACGTGAGCAAGCGCACGGCTGGGTACCGGATTCTCCCCTCGGGTGGCAGTGAGCTGCTTTCTCTTGTCTCTGTCCCTCCAGACCTCCTAGGCTGTCCACGGACACCAAGGAGAACCCTCAGGGGTTAGACGGCACCCAAATTCTACAGCCTGGGGATTTCTAACCCGTTCTGCTAATGTAACTGCTTTTTCCAAGAGAGGCATTAAAAAAAAATTAGGTAGGGAGGAAGGTGAGGCAGGAGGTGAAGGCAGGAGAAAAGAGTCGAATGTTCTCTGATCCAACACCACCTGGTCCCAGCCATGCGCAAAGCGGCCAAAGAAAATAGGTTTTCTCAGAAGGGCATCTGGATTTGTCGTCTCACCTTATCTAATGTTTTTTCCAACTCAGCCGCCGGCCACAGGCAGGAAAGAAAGCCTCTCGGGTTTAAGAGCCCCTGGGGTCCCAGGGGGCTTGGCTGCGGCTCTGTTCTCGGGGTTTCAAAGAGACCCGTTCACTTGGCACCAGCAGCATTTCCCATTTCATCATTTGCGCCTGCTTGCCCGCCTCGCAGGAAGCCCCAGGACCTAAGGTTCATTTCCCTCGCATCCAGCCAAACAGCCGCTTTATAGCGCGGTGCCCAGGGCCCCGAGAACGGTCGGTTATGGCAAGCCCCAGTCTCTGTGGAACCGCAGCCCAGGCTTTCGGCTCGTGGGTCTAAAACTGAGACTGAGGTTGCAAGATGGAGAGGCACAGCCTGCCTTGGGAAAGAGAACCGAGGCTCCGCCCGGCTCACTGCCTACAGGAGACCACACAGCCATTCACTGAACTTGCCTTGGAGGGAGCCAAGAAGCACCCAAGGGCGTCCCTAGGAGTCATGAAAGCACAGTAGCTCACCAAGTGAAACTCCACCCGCCAGGCCCCGGCGCTGAGTGACTCACGCCTCTGGCGACCCCCAGGGGGGTGCAGGGTGAACCTACTGCAGCCTTCTGCAGTCTGCAAAGCACTTTTATAGAAACCATCTGATTGTTTTTTCCCCTGCAGAATATTCCAAACTGCTTTCTAAATGATGAGTACACGCTGTATCATTTTGATGGGAAAACCATTGCCACTGTAGACTACAGGCCGCCCCAGCTCAAGGGATAAAATTTCTCCCACTTCAGCTGACATCAGCACGCGTCCAGTGTTCTGGCTGCGGGTCAGCAGGAAGCATAGGGGTCGACTTGTGAACTCTGCCCAGGTGGGGTCATTCGTTAGAAGAAGGGAACTTACAAAGGGGGCCGGGGGAGCCCCCAAGGATGCCCCAGACAAAGGCAGGAGTCAAGGGCAGCAGTCAAGTTCATCAAGTGAAATTCCATCAGCCAGGTTCCGGCACAGTGACTCACGTCTCTGGTATGAATGAACTTGGGCTAGAAGGACTCTGTTTTCTTCCAGTCTCTGCTAGGGGAGTTCCAGTGGGTGCCGGAGGAGGCACAGCTCTGTATCCTGTCCCTGATCTCCAGGAGTGAGCAGAGACCTGCCCACATCCCACGGCCCCGTGGTTTATGGCTGGGGTCACAATTTTCACTGCATTTCACTCTTGGCCACGTTAAAATGTACAGGCCCCACCAGTGGAGGTGGAAGGAGGGCTTTCGCTCTGCCTCTCTGATGTGGAAGAGTGAGGGTGCAAGGTTTGCAGCTGGTGTCAAGGCCAAGATTGCAAGGGGCCAGGGAATAAGCAGGGAGAGAGCAGAAGCACACGATGTGCATACTAGTTAGCATGCTTTCTCCGTGTGCGTGTGTGCATGTGTGTGTGCACAAGCATGTATGACACAAGGTGCACACTGCCAAAAGCCATCCCAACATGCGATGGGTGTGTTTTCACAGGTGCTGAGGAACGAGGGATCTGAGAACTTGGCAATCACATAATCCCACTTCCTCCTCCACGTGGGGATCTCAGCACAATATTCCAGGCAAGAGGTCCCCCCAGTTCCTGCCTGCACTCCTCCAGTGGCAAGGAGAGCACCCCTCCTGCAAGGGGAGACCAGCGCTCTGTGAGCTGAAGTCTACCTCCCTCCCCCGTGGCCCAGCTCTGGGAGCTGGAATGAATTACTGACATTCTTCTCCACGGTGGTGCAGCCGGCCCTCCATAGCCACAAGTTCTGCACCTGCAGGTTCCGCCGACCGCAGATCAAAGAGGAGGGGGAAGAATGGTCCATGTGGAGCAAGCACAGAGCCTTTTCCTGTCATTAGTCCCTGAACAATGCAGTGTAGGAACCATATGCCCCACATTTCTATTGCATTAGGTAAGCTAAGTCATCCAGAGACGTCTTGGCATGTATGGGAGAAGGGTACAGGTGGCATGCAAATTCTGGGCCATGTTTTCTAAGGGACAGACACAGATCTTGACCTTCTCCCTCCTGTAGGAAGGAAGGACTGTATTTCAAATATTCGAAGAAGCTCGTCTTGTCTCTCACAGCTCTTTTCTTGACAACATCCCTTTAGCTCCTCTGATGACATGGTTTCTGGACGTGTGTCCAACCTGCCGGCCCCTCCTCTGGAGGACCTACTTGTGAGCTGAATCCAGGACTGAACCCTGCCCTCGGCTACTGGTCCAAACCCCAGCAAGTTCAGGGAAAGCATTCTCCTCTCAGTCTAACTGCTTCGTTCACTTCTGTAACAGCCATCCCATACTCATGCCTATGCTGGGTCTTTAGCATAAATCTATCAGTGCCCTCTCAGAGACCCCCACCACCACCATTTTCTTTTTTCTTTCTTTCTTTCTTTTTTTTTTTTTTTTTTTTTTGACAGGCAGAGTGGACAGTGAGAGAGACAGAGAAAGGTCTTCCTTTTTTGCCGTTGGTTCACCCTCCAATGGCCGCTGCGGCCGGTGCGCTGCTGCCGGCGCACCGCGCTGATCCGAAGGCAGGAGCCAGGTACTTCTCCTGGTCTCCCATGAGGTGCAGGGCCCAAGTACGTGGGCCATCCTCCACTGCACTCCCTGGCCACAGCAGAGAGCTGGCCTGGAAGAGGGGCAACCGGGACAGAATCCGGCGCCCCGACTGGGACGAGAACCCGGTGTGCCAGCGCCGCAAGCGGAGGATTAGCATAGTGAGCCGCGGCGCCGGCACCACCACTTTCAAAAGATAACCAAGGCTCTTCCGTCTCTCTCCCTGTAGCCTATACCCTTGTGGCTGTTCCCTCCCCGCCCCCTACCCCACCCCATGATAGAGGATCTTATATTCGCTCCTAACAAGCTATGGTTTGAGCCTATTAATTCAACCTCCCGGGGTTTTTCTCATCTTCATGCCGTACATCTCTGCCCCAGCAATCTCTCCGAGTTTCTATGCCCTGTGCATTTTATCAGGTGCACATTTCAATCTCCACGCCAATTCCTGCCTGATGAGGCAGGAGCAGAGAGCTCTAGGTACGTCCCTAGGGATCCCCCGCTGGGTTCACATAAATTAGTTCCCACTGCGTATCGAGAGCTGACTGCAGGTCCACCGAAGCTACAGCTCTTTCTCCTGTCCACGAAAACCTAACAGGGAGCATTTCCCTAGCCCAGAGGATTGGCTCTGCAACTCCAAGCAGGGACACAGGCGAGTACACGATCACGCTCAGCATCCCACAACTATCCCTTGTGGATGCCATAATGCCCTCCCCCCCCCAATCAGGCCAGCACTGACAGTAAGCAGGAGTTTTAGCCATGGAGCCCTGGGTGCCAGAATCTCTGGAAACTCACAAAGCTCCCCAGACGTTCTGAGGTCGGGCCCTCCCATGCCCTTGGCACCGGCAAACACCAAAGGGAAGAAGGCGTGGCTGGATGAGCAAGCTCCACCCTGGCTTGTGGTGACCTCAGCGCTGAGTGACGGCCAGAATGTGGCCTGCGAGGGACATGCAGCATGTGGGAGGCTGGGACTGTCCTCTGGCCCTTTAACCCCAGTGTCTCCCCTGTCTGGTTATTGCACGATCATCAAGGCCCATGCCCTTGGCTCCCCGCAAGGCTCACTGCAGGTCCTCACAGGTCAGAGGGCCATGGGCCCAGACCACGGTGTGTGTAGGTGCAGCAGGCACCCAACAAGCATGCAGAATAAAGGTGGGCACAAAGCTTTCTTATCAAGTTATCTCAGCCCTTTGGGAATAAGGAAGTCCTTGCCAACATATTTGTCTCCCAAATTCCTGTGTATATTCCACTTAGATGCCCATCTTATTGCCATGGAACTAGCACACAGTAGGTCTCTAATAAACATTAGCCAGTGAAAGGCCCCTCGAATCCTTTTTCCAAGATTATATTTGTTTTCTGGTGGCAGTGAATCGCCTCATTTTCTCAGCCCTAACCCACAGGCACACTGTACCCACTGGAAACAGTGATGGAAAAAGCACAGCCCTGCTCTCTAGGGACCACCCGAATCTCACAGGAGGCGAGAGACACCGATTAGAAGGGGGTGCTAACCATTGCAGATGAGTGACCAACAGTGGGCATTCTGCGGAATTGGTTTGGACAACTCCTCCCACCAATAACCAACTTCATGATGAAGCAAAGCTGTCATCGGTGCGGAAACACTAAATAAAGTACAAGGCTCTCCGACACTCTCTTGCGACCATGAATAAAACAGCAGTCCCTGGAGACTGTCGACCACCAGGGGTCTCATCCTGCCAGCCGGGAGAAGGCTGGAAATCCCACCCCGCGCAATGGCGCAGGCTTGGACAAGTTCCCAATGTATTCCGTGCGCTCTAGGAACGTGTGTGGAAAGAGCAGGGCGGGTGAGTCATGACAGGAGGACGGACAGACGACTCTGTGGGGCCCAGACACGGCCACTTCAAGTCACCTTTCTCAGCCCTGAGTGCTGGGGTGAGCTGGAGGCCAAAACACGGCGAAGCCTGGGTTTGCTACAGATCCCACAGCCCTGGAGGGCGGGGCTCTTAGCTGCCGGCTCCTCCCGCCCTAAGCCCCACCTAACTACACGCAAGAGTAGCGCAACACGTGTTCATTAACTGGGTTGTCGGAAAGCTCAGCCCGAATCAGAACCACATATGCCCAGGGACGGTCACCGGCCTTGGGGCCACTTCTGAATCCTGATTCAGTCAGGCTGGCAATGTCTCAGCCTTAAGGGGGATCTGGAAGGAAATGATCCAACCCCCTGAGCGGGCAACTGGGATCCAGTGGGTCAGGGCTAGATTTGGGGACAGCTGCCCCGTGGTCACCAGCCTCCGGGATGGCTCCCAAGGACCTCCACCATCTGTGTTCAGACCCTGGTGCTACATGCCCCCGCCCACATGGCGCTGGGGTTGGTCTCCATGTGGCCAAAGGAACATAGCAGAAGGGATGCTCTATCAGCCTGGGGTTAGGTTATGGAGGACTGTGCCTTCCGGCTGGTGCTCCTTCCCTCTGGCCTTTGGGTCACTTGCTCGGGGACACACAAGTACCATGTCCTGTAAACCCCCAGGCAGCCTACGGAGAGGCCACATAGAGAAGAGTGGCGGGCCCCAGGCAACAGCCAGCAGGAGTCTCCAGCGAGCGGACTGCCACTCGAGCCAAGGAAGGAATCCCCTGGTCCTCGTCCACAGCTTGGCTGCAGCTTTGGGAGAGACTCGAAGCAGAATGGACGAGCTAGGTCACACCTGGCCCTGGGGCTCAGAACTGCGTGCAGTGTGTTAGCTTTCTGGTACTACAATGGAATACCTGAGAAAACTGACTTTATATGTTAGTTCACTCATAAATCTTGAGGCTCAAGTTTCAAGATCAGGTGGCCCCGCTGGTTTGGCCTCTGAGCATGGTGGCAGTGGTGGAAAGTGGTGCGTGAGGGAAGGAATGTGGTGAGCCAGGAAGCAGAGAGAGTGGCCGGGCTCATCTCTGGATTTTATAGCACCCCTCTGCCGAGAACCACCTGCTGAGGGTGAGCCCCCAGTGACCCAAGGACCCGTCACTGGGCTCACCACCAAAACACCATAATTGGGTCAAGTCTGCACCCACCTTAGTACCATTCATTTATGACTTTGGGGCTTTTTGTTCACCATGAGATTGGGACCCAAATCATATCAAGCCAGAGCAGTGAGATAATACACGCTGGTTATTTGGAGCTATGCAGCAAGTAACAGCCAAGACATGTTTCCAACCTGGAGGACCAGCTCCCAAGCACAGCCAGGTGTCTCCTGCCCATCCTCCTGGTGTCCGTCCACGCTGCTCCCAGACACACACCTGACTCAGCTCCAGCCTGCACACCCCTGAACCTGGGGTCTCTGTTCAGGCTGCTCTCCAGGCCTGGGAAATCCATCCTCCACCGCTACCTCCTTTTGTCCCGAAATCTTTCCCTAATCCAATTGGGTTGGGTCCCCCTCCTCAGGACACGGACACACACACACACACACACACACACACTTGTGGAAATCCACATGGAAGAAGAAAACCGCTCCCAGGAGGGGTCATGACCAAGAGCACAGGACTTGCCTCTATCTGATTGAACACCGAATTGTCGAATTTGAACCCAGGAATCCTCTTGTCACTGCACACCACCCCGACGTCTTCCGTGTGCTTGCAGTCGGTGACGCCCCAGCCGTTGGAGGTGCAGGCCGCGAGGGTGGCCTCCTTCCCGGTGCAGTAGACATTGTCCAGCCAGATGGGCCCTGGAAGAAGCGGAGAGACACTGAGAGCCACGTCAGGGCAGGTGTGCGTCCTTGGGGACACCCGGGTCACACATGGAAAGAGACCTTGTTCCTCTAATTCTGGCAGCTGTGGGTGGCCACCAATGCATGCTTATTATCTCAGATCTTGCACACGGGGGCTGCCTGGTTCCCTCGCCAGAGCAGGCAGCGGGTGTGATTTGGGGGTTTGGGGTAGAATGAACACAGCAGGTAGAAACTGCGTTCTCCCCTAGCCCTGGAAGGCCAATGGAGAGACGGGGGCTTTGCACTCTACCCTGGGTTTGGATCCTGGTTCAGTCACCTGGTGGAGGGTTTGGATCCCTTGTAAGCTGCCTTGTCTCATCAGAGAAGTGGGGACAACAGGGACCCCTGCCTTGCAGAGGTGTGTGCAGGTGAGAGAGATTACGTGGCGCGATACTCAAAAATGGCCGTGATGGTGCTGACGAAGCTTATGTCATTGTGCTGCCTACGTCATAAGCCAGTCTCACGGTCACGGCAGCTGAAGCTGGGCTTCCACCCCTCGGGGAAAAGCTCAGCTGCCCTGTCACGGAGGGTTTGCAGAATTCCAGGGATTCCAGGGGTGTCATCTCCTTGCTCTGCCAGGCTGTGGCTCAGTGCCCCCAAGCCCAGAAGCTGAGGCCTCCATCCCCCCGCATTCTCACTTCCTGTGCTGAGACAGCCCCGCTGCAGCCATTCAGCCAGCCACTGCTTCGTGCTGTGCGACCCTGCTCACCTCCTCACGTGCACTAAGTAGAGAACTCAGTGTGCAAAGTGCGGGAGGCTTCACACAATGAGAGACCACCTCGCACCACTGGGGTGGCTACCATAAAAAAAAAAAAAAAGACAGAAAAGAGCAAGTGCAGGCAACGATGTCGGAAAACAGACCTGTGACCCACTGTTGGCAGGAACGTAAAAGGGTGCAGTTGCTATGGGAAACAGTAGGGGACGCCCCAAAAATGAAAACTAAAACTCCCATAATGATCCAGCAATTCTACTTTCGAGTACATGGCCCAAAGAATCAGGAGGAGGAGGATCTCCAGGAGATTCCTACAGAGACAAGCTCACAGCAGCGGTACTGACGATAGCCAAGAGGCAGAAGCAGCCGGGTGTCCAAACTGTGCTGTACACATACAACGAACCTGCAAGACAACTCCAACGCACACTACAGCATGCGTCAGTCATGAGGACCTTACGCTAAGTGAAGCAAGCCACGTAGAAAAGACAAATGCTTAGATGCTTCCTCTTCTATGAGGTGTCTAGATAAGTCCAATAGAAGCAGAGTAGAAGGGGGGTTGTAGGGCTGAAGGGAGGCGGGAAACAGGGAATTACTGCCTAAGAGGAACCATGTTTTAGGGCTTTTTAAAAAACATATGTATTTATTAGAATGGCAGAGAGACAGATCTCCCAGCCACTGGGTCACTCTCCAAATACTTGCAACAGCTGGAGCTGGGCCAGGCTGACGCCAGGAGCCAGGAACTCCATCTGGGTCTCCCACATGGGTGGCCGGGGCCCAGGTACTTGAGCCGTCTCTTGCAACTTCCCAAGATGTCCACTAGCAGGGAGCTAAAACTGGGAACAGAGCTGGCATTTGAACCCAGACACTCCAGTATGGGAAGTGGGTAGCCCAAGTAACATCTTTTTTTGTTTTTTTCTTTTAAGATTCATTTATGTATTCAAAAGGCAGAGTTACAGAGAAGAGGAGGAGGTGGAGAATGGGGGTGGGGAGAGGGATATCTTTCATCCAATGGTTCACTCCCCAGTTGGCTGCAACAGCCGTAGCTGAGCCAGGCCAAAGCCAGGAGCCAGTAGCTTCTTCCAGTCTTCCGTGTGGGTGCAGGGGTCCAAATACCTGGACCATCTTCCGCTGCTTTCCCGGCCCCAACAGCAGTGAGCTGACTCAGGAGTAGAACAGCGAGAGCTGGCGCTGTGGCATAGCTGGTACAAGCCACCGCCTGCAGTGCCGGCATCCCATATGGGTGCCGGTTCCAGTCCCAGCTGCTCCTCTTCCGATCAAGCTCTCTGCTGTGGCCTGGGAAAGAAATAGCAATGGCCCAAGTGCTTGGGCCCCTGCACCAGCGTGGGAGACCTGGGAGAAGCTCCTGGCTCCTGGCTTCGGATCAGCTCAGCTCCAGCCATTGCAACCACTTGTGGAGTGAACCAACAGATGGAAGACCTCTCTCTCTCTCTTTCTCTCTCTCTCTTTCTCTCTGCTTCTCTTTCTCTCTCTGTGTTACTCTTTCAAATAAATATTTTTAAAAAAGAAAAAAGGAGTGGAGCAGCCAAGACTCAAACTGGCACCCCTAAGGGATGCTGGGAGTCCCAGGCAGTGGCTTAATCCCTTATGCCACAATGTAGCATCTTACCCACTGCACCAAAGTCTGCCCCTGGAGTTTCAATCTTGCCATATGAACAACATCAACACACTCAGCACTCCTGAACTGTACCCCTCAAAGCGATAATTTTCATGATATGCGTATTTGACCACAATTAAAATAAAAACTTAAAAAGTGCTAGCAACTTTTCAAATGGTGCTTTCTATAAGTGCCACTGCAAAAGGGCAGCATACAGAATCAAACCCCTCATTTTCCTCCCAGCTCCATTTAGGAGTCTGTAGGAGAGCAGAGACACACACACCTGGGGTCAGACTGCACCAGCTGTGGCCTGTTTCCCCAGTAACCACCATGATGCCCAACACACAGGTTGCCATGGAGACCGGGAGAGACAATGTGTGTACCTAGTGTGTGTTCATCTCCTTCCAGGAAGTCAGGAAAACAATGATGCAGGGGCAAAGCAGGTAAAAGCACTTCTGGGGTAGAGATGGGAAAATCCAGGAGAGACGCTGAGGTTCTTTGAGGTGAGGGAGCACACGGGGCCAGCCTCCGACTCCCAGGCCCGGCTGCAGCACGTCTGCTCGGATGGCTGGCTGGCTGCAGGATGCAAAGGCGTGCGTCTCGGATGCATTGTGGGGAACAAAGAGTTCATAGACAACATCTGGGCTGAGGTTTTCCAACCGGCTTCCCAGTCTGGCCTGGTTCCCAAGCTGTCCGGCTCCTCCACTGTAACACATGCTGGCTCATCCGTCGCTGTTTCTACAACAAACTGCTGTTTGTCTTGTGAGCACTAGCAACGGGAAGAGACCCTCTGTGTTCTAAGCGGGCCTCTGCCTTGAAGCGCTCTGTGGCGAGCTGCTGGAGGGACGGAGAGGATGGAACCAAGTGGAGCCAGTATCCCATCTGCAGGGCAGGAAATCGCCCTCCCTCAGGAGCTGGACACAGGCCAGGGCACCGGCACAGGACACAGGCTCTATGGGGCCTGCTGCGCTTTTTCACACAATGAACTAACTGCAAACGGCCAACAGACACATGAGAAAATGCTCGGGATCACTAGCCATCAGGGAAATGCAAAGAAAACCACACTGAGGTTTCAGCTCACCCCAGGGAGAATGGCTTTCATCCAAAAATCAAGAAACAATAAGTGCTGGCCAGGATGTGCGGAAAAAGGTACCCTCATCCACTGGCAATCAAGGCCAAAATGAACAAGCGGGGTCCCAGCAAACGGAGAAGCTTCTGCACTGCAATAAACACTCAGCAAAGGGAAGGGGCAACCGACAGAATGGGAGGAAAGATTTGCAAACTAGGCAACCGATAAAGGATTAATATCCACGGTCTATAAAAAGCTCAAGAAACTCAATAACTACCCAACAAACAACCTTGTCAAGAAACACGCAAAGGACCTGAACAGACATTTTTCAAGAAAGGAAATCCAAATGGCCAACAGACACATGACAAAATGCTCAGGATCATTAGCCTTCAGGGAAATGCAAATCAAAACCACAATGAGGTTTTACCTCACCCCCGTTAGAATGACTCTCATACAGAAATCAACAAACAAGAAATGCTGGTGAGGATGTCGGAGAAGGGAACCCTAGTTCACTGTTTGTGGGAATGCAAACTGGTACAGCCATTGTGCAAGATTTCTTCTCCACAAGAAGTATGGAGATTCCTCAGAAACCTGAAAACAGATCTACCATATGACCCGGCCACCCATTCCTGGGCTATTACTCAAAGAAAATGAAATCAGCATATGCATTATCTGCACCCCCATGTTGACAGCAGCTCAATTCACAACAGCGAAGACATGGAATCAACCCAGATGCCCAACAGCTGATGACTGAATAAGGAGAATGTGGCATTTATACAAGACGGAATATGACTCAGCCATGAAAAAGCACGAAAGCCTGTCTTTTGCATCAAAATGATGCAATTGGAGATCATTATGCCAAGTGAAATAAGCCAGGCTGCAAAAGACAAACACTGTGTTTTCTCTTATCTGTGGTAGTTAAGATACAGAGAAAGGATAAGAGCCGTGGGGCTGTCACCACATTTGGTACCTCGTGATAAATACTGCTTCACTGACCTGTGCCATGGGGATGATGGTATACTCCTTTTCACAGTTGCCAACGAGAAGCAGAGAGGGGAGGACAGTGAGGACTCTCGGAGCGCTAGTAATCACTTGGCTCTTAATTTGGGCGTTGGTTACAAGGATGACCAGATGACAAAAAAAAAAAAAAAAAAAAAAAAAAAAGATTGATTTATTTGAAAGTCACAATGGCCAGGGATGGGCCAGGCCAAAGCCAAGGGCCAGGAGCTTTATCCAGTCTCTCATGAGGGTGGCAGGGGCCCAAACACTTGGGCCATCTTCTGCTGCCTTTCCCAGGCCATTAGCAGAGAACTGGATCAGAAGTGGGGCGGCCGGGACACGAACCTGTGCTCATTGGGGATGCCGGCATCGTAGGTGGCAGCTTTACCTGCTACACCACAACACGGGCCCTGCATATAGCGTATTTTAACAGCATGTAAAATAAATAAATACAGCTTTCATGTTATTTGAAAGGAAAAGACAGAGAAAGAGGGAGAGAAAAGAGTGACCAAGAGCACTTCTACCCACTGGTTTGCTTCCCAAATGCCAGCATCAGCCTGGGTTTGGGCCAGGCCAAAGCCAGGAGCCTGGAAGTCCATGTGGGTGGCAGGTACTCAAGTCCCTCCCAGGGTGACATCAGCAGGAAGCTGGATCAGAAGTGGACAACCTGGAACCTGAACCCTGATACGGGATGGAGGCATCCTGGGAGGCATCTTAACCACTGAGCCAAACGCTCGCCCTCTCTTGGATAGGGTGCATTTGAAATTGGCACCTGGAGTTCTAGAGGGAGCTAAGTTTCCCAGAAGAACTGCTCTCTTTCAACAACCCCCCCCCCGCAACAGTCTTTCCCTGCATGCGCCAGGTCTTTGCGGCTATGTCGCTCTGCACTTGGCCCAAGGCAGCTTCACCACGCACCCTGTACGCTCTGGCCTGACTTCAGCGGCGATGTTTATTTCCCTGCTATGCCTCATGCACACTGCTTAGACTGTCTTGCGTTCACTGCTCCAGGGTGCGCCTGTTGGAACGCACGGTGGGTCTCGGCCTGGTCACGTAGGAGCCGTCTCAGAGTTGTCAGGGAAGCAGCGCTTGGGACACAACGTGAGGCTTTGGACCCAGAGGGCCATCCCATCGGAAGCCAAATGTCACTTTATTCTTTCTGCTCACTGACTGCCAGAAATGCTCTCCGGATGACCAGAGAGACTCACCAACAAATGAACAGAGCCTGTGCAAAACAAAGGCCATAAATGGGATGGTGCTGGGAGCCAGAGCCTGCCTCTGAGGCTGTGTCAGGGTGAAGGCAGAACCCGCAGGGCCCCACACGGTCACGGCTGGCCCTGTCGCTCCGATCCAGACAGGCAGGCGGCTGGGTGGACAGGACCCGCCTTGTTCAGGTGCTCGGAGGCCCACTTGGAGGCCGGGAATGGGGAGGCCACGTGACCCATCACTGCTGCCTCCCTGGGTCTGCAGTAGCAGGAAGCTGCAGTCAGGAATGGAGCCAGGAACATGTGCCAGGAGCTCCTACAGGGGACACAGGACCTTAACTGCTGGGCCAAGTGCCTCTCCTCCCAGCACCACTTTGCCAGATCTCCCAAATCAAAACACATGTTAATATCCTCCGAGTGCCCGTCATGTAACCAGTACTGAGAAACCGGAACTCAGGCTGATGGAATCCAAATGCAATCACAGCCATGAACTGTGTCTCGAGTATATATAGGAATTACACCTATTCTTGGGGTTCCATGTGACGTTTCAATGCATGTATACATCGTATAGTGCACAAATCTCCTCAAACATTTATCATTTCCTTATGGTGAAAACATTCAAAATTCTTCCTAGATTTTTTTTTCTTAGAAAAATATATAGTACATGGGGCCAGCACAGTGGCACCAAGGGTTAAGCTGCCGCCTGCAGTGCTGGCATCCCATATGGGTGCCGGTTTGAGTCCAGGCTACTCCACTTCCAATCCAGCTCTCTGCTGTGGCCTGGGAGAGCAGTAGAAGATGGCCCAAGTCCTTGGGCCTCTACACCCACCTGGGAGACCCAGAAGAAGCTCCTGGCTCCTGGCTTTGGATCAGCTCAGCTCTGGCCATTGTGGCCAACTGGGGAGTGAACCAGAGGATGCAAGACCTCTCTCTTTCTCTCTCTCTCTGCCTCTCCTCTCTCTCTCTCTCTGTAGCTCTTTCAAATAAATAAATAAATCTTTTAAAGAAAGAGAAAAAACATACTGTACAAATATATTTATATTTAAAAGATCAGCCATAACAAATGACCAAATCCTACTTTAAATAGACAGCTCGACTCTTAAAGCCCTGGACATGAGTCAGCGTTCACCTTGGCGTCCGTTTCTCCCCACCCTCTCTGACGCTCTCCTTGTCACCACCACGCGGACGGCCTTGCCAGCACGCCTGGACTCTGTTGCCGCAGCTCCTCTGCAGTGGCTCCCCTGCCCCTGGCGCTGGCTGCTCCCACACGCGTGGAGCTCAGTTTGCCATGCCTGACCCCTGCACCCTCCTCAATCTCCTTCCAGCCCTCCCGCCCTGCCTCCACGCCCCTCTCTCTCAGTGGGGACCCATGGGCCATGGGTCCTAGCAGTTCTGCACAACCCTTCAGAGCCCCACCACGACTTCCCCCCTTCCCCGTGTGTAGCTGCTTTTCTGTCGCTCTAATGAGATGCCCGAGGCCATCTAACTTTATGGAGAAGGAGGTTTATTTTGTCTTGCGACTCTGGAAACACAAGATGCAAAGCCTCACCGGCAGTGGCCTCCTTGCTGGCAGAATTCCAAGGTGGTGCGGAGGCTCACACGGCAAGGAAGGGCCTGGGCGTGGGTGTGTCTGAGTGGGCTCCTACACAGCTGCCAGGCATCAGTCGCGGGAGCTCCACCGTCCTGGCCTTATGCAACCTAATCACTTCCTAAAGGCCTGGGGTCCCATATGAGCGCCGGTTTGAATCCTGGCTGCTCCACTTCTGATCAGCTCCTTACTCATGCACCTGGGAAGGCAGTGGAAGATGGCCCAAGGGTTTGGGGCCCCACCACACTCATAGGAGACCTGGATGGAGTTCCAGCCTCCAGCCCTGGCTCTTGACACCATTTGGGGAGTGAACCGGCAGATGGAAAATCTCTCTCACACACACACACATAAAATATCTACCTAATACCTTTCAAATAAATAAATTTTTTTTTTTTTAAAAAAAAGGCCTCACTTCTGAACGCCATAACCAAACTGAGTTTCTACCCTCTTAGTGCTGTGAACATAAGGCGGGCTGTAAGTGTCTGCATAAGCTACTGGTCTCAACCACAGCTCCCAGCAGGGGCTTCATGACCTTGATTTTGACCTCTTCCTTTCTCACATTACCTTTCTGCCCTTGAACTGCCCATCTGTCATTCCTGCCCGACCACATCCCACCAGGTAAACCCAGCCACCCCATGCCTGCTCCTAATGGGAGCAGCCACAATCACCTGGTCTGGTGACAAGTAAGGTGTGCATCTGGACAGAAATAAAGCTGTGGGGGCCAGTGCTGTGGTACGGCAGGTCAAACCACCACTTGCGAAGCCAGCATCCCATATCAGAGTGCTGGTTCCAGTTTCAGCGGCTCTGCAAATCTGATCCAGCTCCCTGCTAATGTGCTTTGCAAAGCAGCAGAGGATGGCCCAAGGACTTGGGTCCCTGCACCCACGTAGGAGAGACATGGATGGAGGTCCTGGCTCTTGATTTCAGCCTGGTCCAACCCTGGCTGTTTGCAGCCATTTGAGGAGAGAACCAGCGGATGGAAGATCTCTCTCTCTCTCTCTCTCTCTCTGTCTCCCACCCTCTCTCTGGCACTTTGCCTTTCAAAGAAATAAAACAAACCTTAAAAAAGGAAGTTGTCACTGGGAAAGACCCACTGTCTCTCTAAGCCTTTGTTGTTGAGTCAAGAAGGCTGGCAAGCCTGGCACAGGAAATGTGGACCTGCTGTCCCCCGGGCAGCTCAGCCTGCAGAGGAGCCCGAGATTTGGGGGCACGGAGACTCAGGAGAAGTTGTGTTAGGGGAGACCGGAAATGAGCTGAGACAGCGTCCGCTCATGCATCTGGGCTGCTTCCTCTCCCACTGCTGAGGGGCCAGGGTGAGCTCTGAGGATATCTGGCCGTAAGCGTGGCCTCCTGAGCCAGTGGCTCCAACAGGAAATTATCAACTACACAGAGCTCAGAGGCGTTCGCGATGGAGCATCCTCCGAGTCACAGGAAGGAGGGCTGGAGGGAGCCCCACTGGCAGCTCCTTCCACACCCCCAACCTGGCTACAGGCACCGCCCAAGCCCCAGCAGCAGCCGCCGTGCCCCGGGCTCCACCACCCTGGCTGAGGGCTGAGATACGCTGTATTTTTCATCCCCTCTGGTGATCTGTATGCAGTCAGCATGGGATTAGCGCACAGAAGGACCCATGCTGAGGCCCAGCCAGATGGAGGCGCCGTCTTTGCTTTACCAACCCTGGGATGGGGAACACTACACTCTAGGCCACGAACTTTTTCAAGGGGCCGGCATTGTGGCATAGAGAGTAAAGCTGCCCCTGTGATGCCGGCATCCCAAATGGGCACCAGTTTGAGTCCCAGCTGCTCCGCTTCCAATGCAATTCCCTGCTGATGTGCCTGGGAAAGCAGTAGAGGATGGCCCAGGTCCTTGGGTCCCTGCACCCACGTGGAAGACACAGAGGAAGCTCCTGGCTCCTGGTTTGGCCTGTCCCAGCTCTGGCCACTGCAGCCACTTGGGGAGGGAACCAGTGGATAGAAGATCCCTCTCTCTGTCTCTCCCTCTCTCTCTCTCTCTGTAACTCTGCCTTTCAAGTAAATAAGTTTGTTCTAAAAAAAAAAAAAAAAAAAAAAAAAAACTTAAAAAAAGAAGCCACCCTTCACTCTTATCTACTGTCTCATTTGAAAACACAGACTAATCGACTTTCCAGAGTTCTTGAGAGCCCAGTTTCCAGCTGGGGAAACTGAGGCTGGACAACACACTGCTGGATAGGTCAGCCCTCCTCGGGGGAGCCACTTGGAGGACAGCCCCTGTGCTGACAGAGCCCCCAGGCAGGGCACGTGGTCCACAGGGACCGGATGAGCTGATCTCGCCCCTACCTGGGGTGAGGCAGGGGTCCTGGTTTGCTGAGAGACTTTCCCAGCTCAGCCCAGGCAAATCAGGAGGGCTGCTCACTGGTCCTCCCAGCCCCCCTCTGCTCCCGCCTTCCTGCCGGCCACAGCCACACCGGCACTGGCCAGCGGCTACCAGGAAACCATCCACAGCTTCCTTCCCCAGGCTGAGCTGCTGGGGACTGCCCTGGGTCTCATCAGGGCACCGGAGCCCCGGAGCCTTTTACCTTCGCCTCTGCCGTAGGAGGAGCTGGCGGTCCAGGACTTGGCTTCCACGTATCCCAGCTCCCGGCAGACCACGTGGGCGGCATGGATGGAGAAGTCGTCGTCGCACACGGTGCCCCACTGGCCGTCATAGTACACCTCCACCCGGCCTTCGCTGTGCTTTCTCTTCTGGCCGGCCAGGCGCAGCTGGATCTTGACCACGTCCAAGGGTACCTGGGGCTGCTGGTACTCGGGGGCCGGCTGCTGGAAGTACTCGGGGTATTGGAGCGAGGAGGGCCAGCTCTCGTACTGGGCCAGGCTCAGGGCGGGCAGCAGGACGAGCACAGCCAGGCAGCAGCGCGGGCAGGAGCCCAGTGGCCTCTCCATCCCCGTGCGGTGGCTGGAGGATCCCACGGAAGGAGCCCTGGGAGGGGTGGGCCGGCTCGAAAGGCGGCAGGTGCTTCCTGCAAAGACAGAGCAGGTGCGTTAGGAAGAGCACGTGGGGCTTCGGACACCCACACGGCACCCCAGCCACTTCCTACTCCTCGGCTTGGGCCGTGCAGCTCCTCCCGTCCCACACGCAAACCTGCCTCCGCTCCCAACTCCCGCTGCCACCAGGCGGGTCCCCGAGCTCCGGCCTCTTCTGCCCGGCCGCGTTCCGGGTATCACTGGAAAGCTTCCCTGGGCAGGGCACCCGGCAGGGAGCAGAGCACCCTCTAGCTGACCTGGAAGCAGGGTCTGTAGACTATGGCTACGGGTAGAATGGAGGGCAGCTGCCCACGGGCTGTGTCATCCTGAGCCCCGCCCCCCACCCAGGCTGACCTCGCTGCAGGGTCTCTTCCGGTGCACGCATCCCAAGATTCCTCCACCCCGCTTTCGGGGCCGGGCCTCCCACCCCATCAGCACGTCTCCTGCTCCAATCACACCTTCCATTCTGCACCGCCAGCGAGTGAGACCACTGAGTGAAGGAGTCCGTGGCAAAGCCCCTCCTGCCCCTCCTGGACGGGGTGCACCTTGAGCAGGACTGAGGCGGGTTCCACCCTCCAAGAACCCAAGGATGCCGGGGAGGCAATTCCCTTCCCTTGCACAGTGCCTGTCTCCAGGGCCCCGTCTTGCCTGCTCTGAGCACAGAGGGGAGTTTGGTGCCTCCATAACTCAGACAGCAAGGAGCTATCTTACAAGGACTGTGGGACTCTCGGGGGAAAAACCAGCACCAAAGGATGAAAGCTAAAGGTGCATCATGCATCATGCATTTTTATTTAACCACCTGCACCTGCACGGAGGTAAGCCAACCATACTCCGCAGTTCCCGACGTGTGACACCAAGGAAAGATTAGGTACCTTTCCCACAGTCAGAGCTGCCTGCGACGGGATGATTGGCCTTGGAGACAGGCAGTATTCTGCCCTTTGGAATGTCCAGCCAGTGGTGTCCAGTGCCCTACAGTGGGCGCTGGGGGACAGCCAAAATGAGGGACTTCAAAAAGCCCACTGGTGTCACTGGAGACCCTGCGATCCTCATCACACACAGGACTAACCCATAAACAAAGCCAGAGAGCGGAGGGGTCCCTGGGACAGCCCCTCACATCACCGCCTGAGCAACTAGTGATGTCCTGGCCATGTCTCCTTCCTGTTGAAGCTCCTTGAAGGCCACAGCTCCTCTGGGTCTAACCACACCCTGGGAAGCAGAGGAGGCAGGTGGTGGGGTTCATCCTCTCTAGGGAAGCAAGGTAAGACCAGGAGGGGATGAGAGCCCCTCCAGGGTAGCAGTTAGTGAAGGTCAATGCTGTTAAAATTGCATTTTGCTTTACATCTGGCGTGTGCCACATCCGGCTCTACCTCCAGACCCGAAGTCCCAAGGGACAGAACCACATCTTTGTATTTCTGTAAGAGCCATGCATCTGTTGTTATATGTATAATACATAATTGTATATATAATATATATTATATTTACAGGCCCTGGGAAGCTGCAGAAGCAGCAAGGATTCCAGGAGCCAGGAGTCCAGAGAGATGGGAGGTGCAGCAGGGCGAGCCTCCCATTCGGCTCCGCGTTTCCCCCTCAGGCACCTGCCAGTTCCAAGGCAGTGGTCGCCGGGCGGGGCAGCTCAGCTTCGCTTGAGGCAGCCGCCAGATGGCAAAGAGCAAAACTGGAGCTCAGAGCCTGCCAAGGAGGAGGTGGGAAGCTGTGAGTGGCCCAGGCCTTCCGAGGGGCAGAGAGTTGTTGGAAAGACCTACACTGCCTATCACCGATATCCCAGAGAAGAGGAGAGAAAACACTCAGGTGAAAAACTGGGAGAGAAATACTTGGCTAAGAATTTACCCAAACTGGCAGAAGGTATCAAACTCCGGCAGCACAGTTTGCAAAGGAAGCTACTGCTGGGCACATGGAAATCAGCTGGGGAAACTCCAGAAAAAAGGAGAAAATCCCACAGGCAGCCCGAGGAGAAAGGTTCATGACCCCAGAAAGAGCAGGAACAGCAGCTGTTGGCTCCTGAACCAAATAAGGGACCAAGAGGGCACAGCCTGATGGGGTGACCCACACAGCAGCCAACCCAGAACCTGTCCCGGTGAAGAAAACAAAGGCGAAGAACATTCCAGACAAACAAAAAGCAGGCGATTTGTTACCAGGTCCACAAGATGGGAATACTGGAGGGAGTTTTCAAGGCCAAAGGAAAAAGAATCCCAGATGTTGGTTTGGCTGCATAAGAGGCGCTGAAGGATCCGGAATGGGAAACTGAGTAGCTAAATCTAGATGGAAACCAACTGGGGGTTGAAAATACAGGTTTATGATATGAACTACAGGGGAGAGACTGACCGTAGGAACACATGGCAGATTTACCAAAAAGGATCCCAAGTCGGGTCATGCAGCAAAGCCCCACATATCCAACGATAGAGAAATGTCTGGCCACATAGAATTTAAGCCATAAACCAATAATATAGGCATAACTAGACAACCTCCACATTTTTAGAAGTGATGGAGAAGAAAATGTACCTCCTACCATTAGTCTCTATCCAGCCAGCCCTGCTGTAGCTGAACCCACGTGGGTCTTTCTGGAGCACTGCGTGTTGACAGCTTCAATTACCTGTGGTCAAACGTGATCTGATGGAAAATACCAGAGACAGACAACTCTTACGTTTCAACTCATGTGCCTTTCTGAATAGCAACATGAAAAACGCACTAGCCTGCTCCGTCCTGCCCAAGATGTGAATCATCCCTTTGTCCAGTGGGTCCACAAGTTATGCACTACCCACCCACCCGTTAGTCACTTAACAGCTTATCCTGGCTGATGCCAGCGCTTGTGTTCAAGTAACTCCTACTTTACCTGCTAATCAATGGTGCCAGAGTACAGGAGCAGTGATGCCAACGATTCAGATATCCAAAGAGAAGCCATAAGTGCTTCCTTTAAGTGAAAGTGAATTCTCGAGTTAATAAGAAAACATCACACGCCAAGATTGCTAATAGCTACAGTAAGAATGTGTGTCTCGTACCCATGACATTGTGAAGAAGGGAAAAGAAATCCGTGCCAGAAGAAAGGAGGGTTTGGGTAAGAAGACGTGCTGAGACAGACCTCACCTCCAGATTTGCATGTCCATGAGCACTTACAGCCCCACCCCACCCATCTTCTTGGGTTCTCCACTCTGTGGAGCTGCTCCAAGCTCAGTTCCCACATCTTCCCTGGAAGAGGGTTCCTGAATCATTCTTCCACTGGACCCTTCTCCCACTCCCTCCTCCGGGGATTGTAACATATTAGACACAGATGCTTCTCTCTTAAAAATAACTCCTATGATTGTTTTGGTCTTTATTGTGAAAGCTCTATAAGCTGGTGAGACAATCTGGAAAATCAAAACAAGTAAATGGAAGAAAATGACTTGCACCAGCACTGTCGAAGGCAACTATTATCAAAATTATTGGGTAGATATTTTTAAAAATTTTTAATTATTTTTATCTGAGAGGCAGAGAGATAGACAAAGCAAGAGAGGGAGAACGTTCCCATTTTCTGGCTCACGCCGCACATGCTAGGGAGCTGGGAACCCCGTCCAGGCCTGCCGCACGTGTGGCAGCCATCACTGCTGTCTCCCAGGGTGCGTGTTCAGCAGGAAGCTGGAGTCAGGAGCCGGAGCTGGGACTCTCACCCAAGTACTCCAGTATCGATCTGAGCAGCCCAACCGGCATGGGAACTGCTGTGCCCAATGCTTACCCCTGTGCAGAATCTGCAAGTTAAAACTTGGAGTCCCAGGGCCAGTGCTGTGGTGAAGCGGGTGGAGCCGCCGCCTGCAGTGCCGCATCCCATATGGGTGCTGGTTCGAGTCCCAGCTGCTCCACTTCTGATCCAGCTCTCTGCTATGGCCTGGGAAAGCAGTGGAGGATGGCCCAAGTGCTCGGGACCTGCACCTGTGTGGGAGACCTGGAAGAAGCTCCGGGCTCCTGGTTTTGGACTGGTACAGCTCTGGACATTGTGGCCATTTGGGGAGTGAACCAGTGGACAGAGACCTCTCTCTTTCTCTCTCTCGCTGTCTCTCTCTCTGCCTCTGATTCTCTGTAACTCTGTCTTTCAAATAAATTAAAAAGAAAAAAAACTTGGAGTCCTTTTCTACATGTTGCTTTGTGAACCGCTTTTCACACTGGACAGTAGATTGAAGCATTAGGCCCCACGGGCTATTCTGTAACAGGGTTTTTACTACATAGTATTCAATCATATGGCTATATCATAATCACATTTCCCATGTTTGCACTGCTGTAAAAATTGTTGGAATGAATATCCTTGCAGCTGAAATTTTCCACAGTCTTGCAATAAATTCCTGAAAGTGAAATTGCTGGGTCAAAGGGTATATAAAAAGCCAACACTTTTGCAAAATTGTGTTAACTGCCTTCCAGAAAGACTATGCCAATTTATGTCTCAGCTGGCAGTGTGAAAGTTTCCCCAAGCCCTGAAAGCTCGGGTATAACCACTTTTCCAAACTCTCCTCCATCTCATAAGCAAAAAAGGATGTTTTGCTCTAATGACCGTTTTCCTTATTACTGGTGAGCTTCAGCGCTTTTTCTCTCCAAACTTACTTGAGCATCTGTATTTCTTTTTTTGGAGACTGTATCTTCATGTCTTTTATCCCTTTTTCTAATGAGGCTTGATTATAATGCATATATTTTATTTTAAAATTTTAGTTATTTGGAAGAGAGAGAGAGATGCTATCCTTTGGTTCACTCTCCAAATGCCTGCAATGGCTGAGGCTAAGTCAAGCAAAGCTGGAAGCTGGGAAATCAATCTATCTGGGTCTCCCACGTGGGTGCCAGGGACCCAAGCACTTGAGCCATCCCCGCTGCCTCCCAGGGTGTGCATTGGTAGGAATCTGGATTCCAGAGTACAGCCAGGACCCAGTTCTGCGACATGGGATTTGGACACCGGAAGCAATATCTTCTTAACGGCTGCACAGAATATTTGTCTTGGCATTTAAGTTTTCACCTTTAATTT